ACACTTGCTTAAGGTGTTTATGCCCTCTGTGGTTGCATTCATTTGTCCCCTGATAGGGAACATAATATCACGTGCTGTGAGTTTGTTTTAGAGATTGGAGTGTTTCTTGGGACTTGTGCCCTTCATCAAGGACACAGGAAGTACAAATAAAACAGTGTAGGTATTATGTGGGTTTTAGTGAGTTACAGCCACAGGACTGACAATAAGGGAGCAGAGAGTCTGCACAAGCTGTAAATGTGTTACTTTAGTATTTCTACACTCGTATCATGAGGATCATTTCAACATTCAGTTTATTTGCATCTGTTTATTGACAATATAATGGAATAGCATGCTGTACAAATGGATTGATTTTAAGGGGACACACCGTGTAGGTAAAAAATGTAAACTCAAAGATATTAGCATGACATTTCCCCAGTTGAATAATCACATTAAGACAATTGTTTTTTGTACTACATGTTTTCGGAAATGTTATGTTTAAATATTCAAATGTGAGGCCTTATCTTTTTAAATATGTGCAATGTGCATACATTTTCGTAACTGAAACTTGAACATTGGATAAATCCATGTTCCACATTATTTTATAATTTGGGATATCTCTTATCATATGCGTAGTGTCACTCCATAAATCGGATATATGGCCATCAGTCTTTTAAAAAACTGTTTTCGTTATGATTTTTCGGAATACAATGTTAAGGATATGAATTATGTATGAACCAAACTCTGTAAAATACTTATATAGAACATTGATAGTAACAGGAATGTATGGTGCGTATTTAAGTGCTGGTGAAGCGGGACTCTGAGACATTTAAAAAAGGGCCTCCCTGGATTACTTACAATGAGACTTTTACTTTTTATTTTACAAGTTCCTGAAAAAGTATGTTTCAATCAGCAAATGAGCCATTATCTGAGCAATCTGTGGTGAATTCATACGACCCAAATAGACAGTGTAGTTCCACCTAACTGACCTTTGGATATTTTCTTCCAACTTGTCAGAGGAACATATGTTACTCTCAAACCTGACTGAAAACAATGGTTTGTGCCTGTAGTGTTTTGCCTCAAGTCCTCAAATGCATCTGTCTATTTACTGGTCAAACAGCATCGTGAGGATTAAAGGCCAGCAGCTGAAAGTCACACCAGCTAAAGAGTACATGCGGGCTTAGGTAAAGGCCGGGGGTCCGCGGCTTGGGGAAACTGTGTATTGGGTCGGGAGATGATGTGCCGAGGACCACCTTGATCCTCCCTGGAAGTCAAACAGAAGTGTGGGTAGCCGTGTCCTGGGAGGCCTTCTCTGCCATCACAGTGATATGGAACCGGCCTAGAAGGCAAACAAGATCTCTCCCGATCTCCCCGCCCCCCCC